TTTTTTTTTTTTTTGCAAAAGTTACAAGCAAATCAGCCCTTCAAAACTACTCAACTCTCCAGATGAAGCACCCAGACAGATCTCATTCAGGTGTATCCCTTTGCTTCTAGTCATCCCTTTTGAATTGGGTGGACAGGAAATCAATGGATAAAAATCTTCGATGAGACACCATTCAGTTCAGCAAGCATTTATATAAAAAAAAAAATCTAGAAATACAATATAAATCATGACTCAGAGAGAGGAAGACGGCCAGAGAGTCTGGACTCTATCACATAGATGTCTGTCTCAGGAAGTCAGTGGCGTCACTGGGCTTCAGTTCCCACACAGGAAAATGCCACGTCCCCTTTACAAGGTTGCTGTGAGAATCAGAGAGACGTGAGTCTCCCTCCATGAACGCTAACACGCAACAGGGGCCAGCCAAGTCACGGAGGAGAGTGAAGAAGTGCTGGTTTTGAAACTGCAAGTGCAACCAACGGATCATGAAATCAGTTCTGTGGGTCATGCGTGTCATTATTTTCTCTTCTATAAATGAGAACAGAATGGAATAGAAAATATCAGCAAGGGCAGTACTGTTGTGTGGATGCTCTGTTTCTGCACATGCATATATGCACACCTGTGTGTCTATGGGTGCAAATGTGTGTCTATGTATGTGTACGTGTGATTTGCACAACTGAGTTCTCGCTGTGGCTCCGTCAGTGCCCTCTGTCAGTCCCTGGTATAGCTGTTAGAAAGTCAAGATTGGGAATTGGGAATCTCACGTTTCAGTTCCGGCCCAGCCGCCACTTGCTAGCTGTATGGATTCCAGTCACCATGCCTCAATTTTTAAACCTATCAAATGAAGACACTAATAGCAGAACTGAGGAAGACGCTAGGACATGTTGGGATTCCACAAATATTAAGGCTTATCATTGGTATTTACCATGTAGGGTACTGAACATTAAAGTAAGAGATGAGAGACACGGCCCCATCATCAAGGAGAGGTAGAATATAGAATGTAGTGAGTGACAAGAAAAATGTCAGGGGCCGTTGAGGGGGACTGCAAAGTCCAGGTGGGAAGAACAGTGGTGAGGCAGGCTGGTAAGGATGTGCGTGGGAAGGCAGGCAGAAAACAGAAAAGAGCTATTTTTGCCCCTTTTCTTTATGGATATCAACTTTCCCCTTGAACTTCTATTCACTGATTCCCCCCTCCCCTGCTATTTAGATTTATAGAAAAATATTGTGACACCATGAATAAATAGAAAAGTCACCAAGGATCACGAAGATATAAAGAGAAATCAAAGAGCAAACTCCTTCTAGAATGTGCTCTCAGTTTTACTTAAGTAGCAATAATACTGGGGGGTGGGGGGGTGGGGAGAGTACTCCAGTCTTTAATAACAGTTGCTATTGTTGGCAGAGGCCATGAAGTCAGTTCTGAGTCATGGAGGTCCCACGTGTGCACAACAGAATGGCTGTGCAGGTTTTCAACTTGTGACCTTTTGAAAGTGAAGGAGAGGAAGACCCTCAACCAGGTGGACTGACACGGTGACTGCTGTAATGGGCTCTTGTGTGTGAGGAAGTGTGAGGATGGCACAGGATAGAACAGGGTTCAGATCTTTTGTTCATGAGATCGCTATGAGTTGTACTCAACTCCACGGCACCTAACAACAACAACAACATCTAATGAGGTGCCTCAGGATGGGTTTGAACCACTAACCTTTTGGATAGTTGTTGAGCGAACACTGCTTACACTAACCAGGTGTTAGTTAAACCTGTTTTTTACAATAATGGCCTTAGGCTGTATTTGTCCTTATGAGGATAAATATATGCTGAGGTAGTTCATCAACATAATGCTCTCTAGACTCTCCCATGTTACACAGTAGTCTACAAAGTAATTTTTCTTCAGTGCTACATAGTATTCCATCGTGTAAATGGACCACAATCTCTCAACCTATTCATTTGTGGATGGGCATGTGGGCTGCTTCCATTTCCTTGCTATTGTGAACAATTCCACTATGAACAAAGATGTCTGTTATCTCTGTTCATGTCTCAGTTCTACTTTCCTTGGGGTATGTTCCTATCAGTGCAATAGCTGGGCCATATGAAATGTCTATGGTCAGCTTTTTGAAGAAACCAATTACTCCGTAAGATCATGACTGTTTTCTGTGGGCAGAAAAAGGGGGAAAGGTGGAAATCACTAGGATTGTAGTGTTGTGTGTGTGTGTGTGTGTGTGTGTGTGTGTGTAAGAATAAGAAAGATTCAGTGGGTGAGCTCAGGTGGTCTAGAGGCAAGAAGCTGCACTGCAATCCCAGAGGTGAGCAGTTCGAATCCACCAGATGCTCTGCTGGAGAAGGAGGGACAATCTCCTCCTGTTCCAGTCAGATCCGATTTGACAGCAATGGGGTTACTGTGTTTCATAGTAATACTAACTACACTTGATCTTCGCCAAAAGGCTGATAAGCGATGTGTTTCATACTCACACAAATGAATTACTGTATGAAAACCATTAAAAAAGAAATACTAAAAAATAAAAAAAAAAAAATACCAAGTCTACTGACACCTAGTCCATTCTGACTCACAGCGCCCCTAGAGGACAGAGCAGAACGGCCCTGTAGGGTTTGTAAGGATATAATCTTTACAGACACACCCTGTAATCTCTCTACTGCAATGCATCTGGTATTTTGAAACCACCAGGTCTTATGGTGAGCAGCCAAGGGCTTGACTCTCATGCCACCAGGTCCTTTTAATAACAATAAATAACAGGTGCGATCTAGTGAGTGTAAGAACCAGGCACTTGTGACAATACTTTCTTATTCAATTAAATAATCAAAACAAATCTGCGAATACTTATTGTGGAACAAATTCTTGATTGAAAGACAAGGAACCTAAAGCTGGAAGACCAAGCGGCTTCCCTGAGCTCACATATTTGGAAGCACAAAGCCTGAATACACCTGTCCTCATTTACCAATCATTTCATTATCTGGTCGTTCACATTTACAATCATAAGGAAAAAGTCCATTATCTGTACCTTAATGGGACATGTCTACAGTACGGAATGACAAGGTATAAGCAAAAGTAATGCTGACTGTGACAATTAACTTGATGTGTCAACCTGGCTGGACCATGATTCCCAGTGCACTGGCAACTACGTAACAATGGAATCCGGCAGTTACACAATGATGTAATCCCTCGCCAATTAGTGGTATGATGTGATTATCTTCCATTTTTTTTTTGGAGGGACATTGAATTTTATTTTAATTAGCTTTCCCAGAACACAATTTTATTATTAAAGACATTGGAAAGAACATCCTCCATTTTTACTCACCAACAATTTTTAGATCAGGACTTGTTCTTTTGAACCTAACCATATTAGAAAAGTGGCATTGTTATGTGCCTGTTGAGTCCAAAATGACTCATAGCTGACCCTCCTGTGAAGTTTTGGAGGCTGTAAATCACATGGGAGGAGACTGTTCATTCTCCTCCAATGGAGTGACCAGTAGATTCAAACCACACACCTTAGGGTTGGCTGTGCAACTCCTTACCACTAGGCCACTAGAGATCTCTGGGTAAGTGAGGAGTGTGTATAGAAATCTGGCTGTGTGCATGATTTTAAACACTCTATCCTGCACTCTCTCTACAATATTTTCCTGGGACCACTTAGATTTTAGACTCTCCAAACTGGTTTTTTGTTTGTTTTTTTAAATCACCCAACATTGTATCATAGAGACAAAGGCCTTTAAATTAGAAAAAAAAAAAAACAACAAAAAAGGTTCCATGTTAACAGTGGTAGGTGATCGTTATCTGCACGGATACAAAGCTTTGAAGTGTTTTGTAAGTACCTTCTTCAGGGGATATACATGAAGTGTGCTCAGGACTAGGGTGGAAACCTGGGAAACAGAACCCAAACTGATGATGTCAAGGTATGTTTAGTCTTTGCTCAGATGTGCTTCCAACACATTAGCAAAAGAGCCAAGGATCATCTAACATTATTTCTTTATTTAGAGTTCTTTTATGTGTACAAGCATAAAAACACTCCTTATTTAAGAAGCATTAAAAGTCATGCAGGACATGTTGCTAGATCCTTTCATCCAAGAATATGAAAGCACTTTACAGACACCCATCCTCTCATTAGGCCCATTTCAGAGACAGGTACAACCAAAGATTCCAGACCTGGGGAACTGAGAACCATTTCTACCATAACTGCTCAGATTTCCAATGGTCAAAGTGAATCTCTCACACGGGGACTGTAGGTGCTGAAAAGTCTTCCTATTTTACCTAGAAAGGATCTTTTGATTTAAAAAAGAACATAAAGGAATTTGAATGACTTTAGAGGCTAGTAGTAGGTAACAAAGGCCCTAAAAGTCCACCTTCTCCTGCTTTTTGGGTGTCATGTTCTACAGGGTTTTTTTTTTTTAGAAATTTAATTAATATTTTAACGAAAGTTTATAAAAAACTTGGATTTTTATTGTGAGTCGGAATCAACTCCACAGCAGAGGGGTTGGGATTTTGTTTTAGATTCTAACAGTCACCCCAAGGATCAATAAGCTCTACAATTCTTAGAGCCCCATGGTTTCACAAAAGGCCCTCCACAGAGATAATCACCTCTCAGTAGGTAGCTTTATTTCCTCAAGCAAAATTCCATCATTAAGAAACTTAAGATCCATGTTTCCCTACAGAAACCTTGAGAGCTAAACAAACGGCTTGCCATTCTGTGCTCACCATTAAGTGGATATATCCGTGGAGAGAACGGCGTGGAAGTTTGAGTCTAGAGCTCTCTCTGGGTAAGCTGTTAGTCTCTCATACACACATACTAAAAAAACACAAACAACCCCCCCCAAAAAAAAAAACCCAAATGAAGCAGTAAAACCTGGTATGTGATAAAAGTACCTGTTGAAAATAACTGCTGTTAAGAAAATGTTTTGAGGGGAGAGTAGAGATCAATCCTTTTATCCAATTGAAAAAAAAAAGAGGCAGTAAAATTGAAAAAGAAAAGAAACACGTGAGAATGCTTTAACTTGCATACCTGAGGTATGATTGACATTTTCTTCCTTAAATCATGAAGCCCAATTTCGGTTGTCAAGATCTTATCAATCCAAATTTTACCTTCGGGTTCTGACAGTCTAAAAAGGGCTGAGATGAGAGAACTTTTTCCAGCTCCTGTTCTTCCCACAATTCCAACCTACAAAGAGATCCAGCAAGGATTTAAAAATAGCATCAAGCAACGAACCAAAAAGACAACTTGAATTTTGAGGATGAAAGGTACACTCTATTCTATAAGCACTTCTCAGCCTGGGCACAACGGTCATTTTCAGGATAATTGCTTGCTTTGTTGGACATTTTGCACTATACAATTCTTTGCTGTCCTGTGCACTGCGGGATACAGAGAGAGCAGCACCTACTGCTTCTACTCATTAGGACCCACCACCAAAAATGCCCACAGACATGGTCAAATACCCCAGAGGAGCATAACTGGCCCTGCTGGAGAACCTCTGGTTTAAAGAAGAGTTAGGAGGTACAGAATCTATCAGCTGGCAGTAAAGAGTGATTATACTCCTAAGCAATCTATGAAAACCTAGTCTTTGTTTCAATCCTGGCTGGAAGACGCTGTCAAGTCGTGTACTCATAGCAACCCTATGAATAACAGACCTGAACTCTGTCCCATCCTGTGCTGTCATCATCTCTGACACTTGAACCCATTGTGGCAAAAACACTTGACTGTGTCAATCCATCTTGTTGGAGATCTTTACTCCTAGGCTTGGGGAACCATGGACCTCAGGGAATTAAGAACTATAAATGCTTCTTGGAGCATTTCACAGAGAGATCAATAATTTAAATCAGAGGCAGTGGTTGTTGTTACTGTTAAGTGCCATGGAGTCAAGTATGACTCATAGCGACCCCGTGAACAATAACTATAACTGTCATCATTTCTCTAATGTCCATTGAGTTTCCAAAGGTCTTTTGTTTAAGAAGTAGATGCCAGTACTGCTTTCAAGCCTATCTTAATCTACGAGTCCCTGTCCACCATGAGTAACTATTATAGCATTTGACATACTAGTGGCACAGTGTTCAGTATCACAGCAACTCCAAGTTACCTCAGTACAGCAAATTGACAAACCAGTGCTGTACCACTTAGAACAAGGTTCTTCCCAAACACAATTAACAGCCCTAGAGCCTAACCAACTTTTAAATACAAAAGCCCACCTACCAGGTCTTGATTGACTTAAACAAGAGGTTTCTAGTCCACAGCTGATGGTTAACTAAATTCCTGAGACCAATCAGCTTACACATGATTAAGAACGAAATAAAACAACCCAACAGTTTACACCTGACTTTCAACTAAATCAAGAGGACTAGCCTCCAGAATCCAACTGCTTCATACATACGAGGTACTATATATAAATTAATTATTCACTTTTCTAGGATGCTATAACTATGAATTATTCTGTGGTAGAGAAGCTGGACTCTATAAAGAGGAATGTGGCATCAGGATTAGAGGGAGACTCACCAATCATCTGCATTATGCAGATGATACAACCTTGCCTGCTAAAAGTGAAGAATCCTTGAAGCACTTGATGCAGAGAACCATGAATGTGGCCTTTGGTATGGATTGCATCTCAATGTCAAGAAAGCAAAGATTTTTATTTGTTTACCTCTGGATGGATAAGCAACATTATGATGGATGGAGATGAGAGTGAAACTCTCAACAGCTTTATTTTGCTTGGATCCACAATTAACACTCTTGGTACCAGCAGTCAGGAAATAAGGCAATAAGTAAAGATGACAGAAGAAGACACAGCCTTTGAGCTGTGGTGTTGGAGAAGAAAACTGAACATCCTATGACGGCCAAGAGAACGAACAGGTATGTCTTGGAGAGGGTGCAGCCAGAGTGCTCTTTGGAGGCAAGAATGGAGAGACTTTGCCTCACATACTTTGGACATGTTACTAGGAGAGACTATTCCTTGAAGAAGGACATGATGCTTGGAAAGGTGGCGGGTTGACAAAGGAGAGGAAGACCCTAGACCAGGTGGAATGACACAGTGACTGCTGAAATGGGCTCCTGTGTGCTAGGAACTGTGAGGACGAGACAAGTTAGAAAAGGGTTCAGATCTTTTGTTCATAGTGTCGCTATGAGTTGTACTTGACTTGACAGCACCTAACAACAAGAGAAACTACATCACTTAAAGATATTAAATACCTGGCTATGTATGTTCTGTCTTGAGAAGAAACATCTTACACTTTTAAAATGCTCATCTCAGTGTCTTAAAAGCCAGAATCCAAAATACACATTATGAGACAAACAATAGTGACATGTGCTTGTTATATGGAGCCTTTCATCTGAACGGTTCAAAAGGCATTTTATAAACCAATTAATACACACAATTGCCCCTTGGGAAATATATGTGTTAAGTATCATTCCTCTTATTAAAACAAAATGAGAAATTACATGATCTGATAATGAGATCAAAGAATCAATATAATGCCGATAAAATACTGGTCAGGAATGAAGAAGAAATTTTCAAACATATGCATTTACCCCTGTAGGCAGAGACCAGCCCTGTTACTGTCAAGCCTGCCCCAAATGTGTTTATGTTACTGGCAGTGGTGCAACAGACTGTAATCTAGGAAGGGCCAAAAATGTGCCTTCAATCACCTGCAAAGTAAATCCTGTTCGCCGAACAAACTTCCTGTTCTAAAGAGAGTACTGATATATGTTAGTAACTTCACATATTGCTCATGTGACATCTCCACATTTAAGTATTTAACTCCAGAAAATCAATCCACCATAACTCATAGTGACCCTATGAACGACAGATCTAGTCTCTGACCTACGCTAGGCCATCTCATCATCTGAGACACTTGAGTCCATCGCTACAGTCACTTTGTTTATCTATCTTGTTGAGGGTCTTCTTCCTCTCCTTCTCTCACTCTCCACTACTCTGACATGATGTCCTTTTCCAAGGACTAGTCCCTTCTAAGAACATACTCAAAATATATGAGAAGAAGTTTCACCATCCTTTCCTCCAAGGAGCACCCTGGCTGTATCCTCCCCAAGAACCTACTTATTTGGTCTCTTTTCAGTCCATGGCAAGAGCCACAATTCAAAGGCATCGATCTTCAGTCAGCTTTATTCACTAACTCTCAGATACACAGCAAGTAACCGAACAGATCACGAAGTGAATCAGGTGCACCTTAGTCTTTAAACTGGTACTCTTGCTTTTCTGCATTTTTGGAGAGCTCTCAGACTTTCTGAATATAACACATCTCTGGATTTCCTGATTGCTTTTACCAAGGTTGTTGACTGTGAACAGCATCCTCAAAAACATGATTCATTTTCATACATAATCATAAGATTTAAGAAAATGAACTTTAACTTTATTGTCTGTCCAGTTAGTTTTCACTTCATGTCAAGAACACACTTCTATTCTAGAGTTGTATAAAAGGAGTCCTGGTAGCTCAGTGACTAAAGCGCTCAGCCGAGAGTCACAGTTCTCCTGTACAAATTCGTCAGCCACTCTGCCGGGGAAAGAAGCGGCAGCCAGCTTCTTCTGATGTGCCGCCTCGGGAGCCCTAATGGGTTCTGTTCTCCACGATAGTTATGAATCAGAATCAACTCCACGGTAGTAGAAGTTTAATTTTTAATCAGAATCAACTCCATCATAGTAGAAGTTTAGTTTTTTGGGAGTTGTTTCAAGTAGCCTTGTCTGTACGAAGTTGCACTGGTAACTCAAATGTGGTGCCTGCTGGGTAGAAGTTATCAGCGGCACTGCAGGAGAAATAAAGATAAATCTCTGCCTCCCGCCCCATACCAATTTACCTTAACTGTGGACACATGGTATTGCACAGTATCAACAGCTGTGGGACCAATATAAAAGAGTGCTTTCCACACTTGTTTACAACTGCAGTGATGGTGGTGGGAGATTGTGATGTGACTGTGGCAAGGTGTAACCAGAGGAACCCTGGAGCTAGAGGCCACAGTTGAAGGTTTTGCTTGCTGAATGATTCAAAGAAAAGCTGACTTATAACTGCTCTGAGATAAAATGTGCTGGATGATTGCATTTGTGCTGCTGAACTGAACCTGGACTTACACTGTGAGATACTCTTTGTCTCCCCCACCCTCCAACCTGTTTCCCTAATAAACCCCACAACTGGGGGTGGGAGAAGGGGAGGAAGGATACTCTTCTGTGAGATTTACCACCTCAAAAACCCTGCTGTGAGCTGGTTCTGACTCAATGGAGATGAGGTCTTCTTCTTTTTGACTGTGTATTCTCTATGGTGTTGTCTGTCACCCAGGCATTCCCTAGAAGGCTGTGGTGATGGGCTCCAATGTCTCACAGATAAGAATGGTGCGGGCAGGACAGAGTTCAGACCTGTGCTATAAGTTGTACTCGGCTTGATGGCACCTAACAACATAAACAACAGAGAGCTGAGGACTTAAAGTCAACCTAGGGAACTTTAAAATCTATTGTCATGTTGTTCAAAACAAGATAGTCTGAACAGAGAAAATGGACATGTCCAAGGAATTTATAGCCATGAATACAACTGCAAAGAATCAGCCCCTAGTTTTCATGGGAGAAGGAGAAAGACCCCTCGGCTCATTAAGACTTACAGTCTCAGAAACACAATGGAGGGTCCCTGAGCTGGAATCTACGCCACACACCACATGCAGCTGCTGCTGTTATGTGCCCTTAAGACAGAGCTGACTCATCGCCGGCTGGGACTCCAGCAGGTTTTCGGAGGCTGTAAATCATATAGGAAGAGACCGCCCACCCTTCTCCTCCACAGCACCTGGTGAATTCAAACCACCTGCTTCTGGGTTGGCAGTGCAGCTCCTTACCAACCAGGGCCACACAGGGCAGACAATAGTTTATGCAGTGTGACTGGTTAAATTCCTTTCACATCCTATGATAATGACAGCTACCTTTTATCAAGAATTTGTGCTGATCTCTGTGCTAGGTGCTTCTTCTTACATGTCTTATCTTGCTTAATTTATACCAGTCTGGAGGTGTTGCTGTAAAATACTAAGAAGCTTTCTTCAACTTAGGGACGCCACATAAAGAGAATGGAATCCTGCCTGTTCTGTGTCATCCTCACAACGTCCACCTTGAGTAGGCTCAAGCCTACTGCTGCAGCCAGTTAGTCAATCCACTTTGTTGAGCGTCTTTCATTTCTTCAGTAACT